CTTTTGATAATACCTTCTGATAATACGTAATAATGTCGTCAGCGTAGCCCAAGGCACTAACCAGTCTGCCACCCATTCGATAACCAACATCCTCCGAGAGAACTCCCAGTGCTCGATCTACGACCAGATTGAACAGTGGGGGCGACAGCGGATCACCCTGTCTCACACCACGTCCGATCTTAATGGACGACACTTCCTCGGACGTCTGCAGTACAGTTCGTGCATCTTCGTACACTGCCCTGATATACTTGAGGAACTCCCTTGGGAGACCTAAGTCATCGAGGGTCTTGTGAATCGCACTGTGCGCGACCGTGTCGAAGGCTTTCGACAGGTCAACGCACGCTACGTGTAGGGATTTGCATCTCTTCCGGGCGTCGCCGAGCACGGCAGATAGGACTGTGACGTTCTCACATACCCCATCCACCGGTCGGAAACCCCTTTGGCGTTTATCAAAGATGTCCATTGCGGATAGACGCGTCGCCAGTATCTTGTGGAAGTGCCTTATAATTACGGATCCTATGCTGAGAGGTCGGTAGTCTGATGGCCCAGGCCTATCGGGCATCCCTCCCTTCTCCAGGAATACCGTTCTTGTGGTCGTTATTGAGGAGGGCGCCGTCTCTGCCAGGAGCAGCAGATTGAACAGTAGCGTGCGAAGAGTCACAGGAACCGCGTTCCACATCCTCGGCGTAATACCGTCCAATCCGGGCGCAGTGCCAGTCCTTACGGAAATCCTATCGATCTCTAAATCAGAGATCGGATCCCAGAGCGAGGTCCTACCCGCTGCTTGACCTAGGTCTACAGCGGCGCCCTCACCGAGGCCTTCGAGATGAATCCCTCTGGCACCCGGCGGATGGCTCCGGCCAGCACTCGCTACCTGTGTCGACTCTCCGTACAGCTCACGCAGGCCCGTCATATCCCCATCCGCGACACTAGTCGTCTCCATAATGGGACGCCAGTAGTCTCGGAATTCGCTGGGAGACGGGTGCACGCGCACCGAGCCGCCATCGAGCACATACGACAGACAGGTTTTTAGGTTCTTTTTGTAAAGGGTTTGCACTTTGGCAAACTCCCTTTTTCTCTTCTGCTTCCTATTCTCTCGTTTAGTAGGAGGACTGCGCTGCTTTGTTGACACGCGCTGTGGAGCACAGCTGGCGGCGGGAAGATCTCACGCAGCCATCTCTCGACGGCCTGCACGTCGACCACCCCTACCAGTAGAGCATCTCTCGCAATGCCAGCAAGAGTATCAGCCCGAAAGCTTTAGAGCGCTGCACTTTGCTCTATAAGTGAAGAAAGCCTGCTCCGCAGCCTCTCAGCGTCCCGCTGAGGTACAGGCTGATGTGCACTATTATCTCTGGTCGTCTCAATGGTCGTCGGGTCACCGGTGGCTCCTGTCATCGCCCCGGGCCCGCTGCCCTTATCGATGTCAGTCGCACGCGACTGCATCTCTTCACGGAAAAAAAAAGTAGCTGCCGTAACTAAAAACTGCGTGCGGTAACTAAATTATCGTCGTAAAATATGGACTGCTAATATCTTAGCTTTGACACTTAAATTATTTTGCTAAACAAGTTTAGCAACCCGATATACAAAATTTAGCTATAAGATGTACTTCAGTTAGCAGCCATGGCAACATGTATTGCAACAATTCGTTGTGGTATGCACACTATTTATATGTAGAAGACACAACTTTTGCTGTCGTTGCAAATATCTTAGCTGCAGTAGTTAAAGCTATTGCTATATCCGAGGTATATTCTGTAGCTAAAAATGTGTTCAAGATAGCTATATTAATTAGTTATGAAGTGGATTTTGTTCTTATTAATTCACTCTTTAAAAGTGAATCAGTGGAATCATCATTAATTTTCCAGTGGCATACTTAGAACTGTAATAAACAGTGACTATTTCAATGTTGTTTCAGTGATAATATTGATTCAAACAGTGAATATCACTGAAAGACAGTGAGTTTCACTGTCAAACAGTTTTGAGAACTAAAATTCAATGTTCTTCAATGATATTCATTGTCAATCAATATATTATTACTGAAACAACATTGAAATAGTTACTGTTTATCATAATTCTAAGTATGCCACTAAAAAATGATGTACACTGAAAATCAGTGATGATTCCACTAATTCACTTTTAGAGAGCATGTAAGTTGCAGAAATATAATACAATAAAGAGAAATCATACACATATATATAGAAATATACATATTTATATTCTTTTTATCTATACAGATACATCTAAATAGATTATCTATACATATGTAATCAAAAAATTATAATCGGAATAAAAGATAACTAAAATTAACTCTTTGTGTAATGTAAAATATCGTATTGTACTCCGAATACAATAACTATCAGTATATACCTTCTGTATATATACATATATTTTTTAAAATAATAACGCATAAATATTTTGATTTGAAAATAACATGAATCTCTTTTACATAAATGTTAAATGTATAATGTAATATTAAGGATCAGGATGTCAAAGAATATGAAATTAAACGAAATGATGTAAAATAATATAGCGTTCACCATTTCCCATAATGTATACGAACAAAGGAAAAGGATCAACTAAATCTTCATATTTAATTGAGATCCACTTTTTACTTTGTTTCACTTCAAAACCACGAATATTGCCATTTAAACCTATATTTATAAGAGAGGAACAAATAAAAAGTGGACTATTATTATGAATAATAATGAACTGAATTTCCGCAAAAATAGGACATAGACTTTCATCTATACCATATAGCAATACCATTTTTGCTTGGTACCGAGTACCTTTATAATCGACCCAATTCGTAACAAAACATTTATTATAGTTAATATTATTTGGTAATGTTAACATAAAATTATTGAATTGATGATGTTTACTAATATCAATGACACTTCCTGATCCTGTTTTAATATTTGAAAGAATACTTTCTTGAGCCATAAGTCTATAACAAAATGAATATTGATATCGAGTAGCAATTGAAAAAGCGATATTTTTTCTTAACATGACAACATTCGAAATTTTTTTGAGAGCTTTATGGAAACCTTCAAGCCTCATTACAGATAAGGAAACAAGTGGTCCACATTGCATCATGACTCTTGCATAGTGAATAAGATTATGATGTTTTGGTTTCAAATGCTGCTTTGTGCATTTCATATATTGACTATGATGCTCTTCTACTAATATTTGAAATGCAGAAGCAGATTCCTGTGATACTGATCTACTGAAAATAAATTCTGTTATTTCTTTTAACAATAAGTACAATTTCCAAAATGGATCTTTATATGATTTCACTTTATGCCCAATAATTACTCCAAAAAGCTTACAAAAAGTCGACATTTCTGAAGCTGTCATTTTTAACTTGCTTTTTGTTGCAAAATCATATGCAATACAAGGTGGTTTGTTTTGTACACTAGGACCATAATCAAACATTTGCAGATTGTAGTTGAGACCTGATAAGGTAAAATCACCAATCTGAATAAAATGATCTATTATTGGAATCATATCGTAGTGAGCAATGCCTTCTAGAACATCATGCATGATGTCAACATAAGCATTGTCTATGACATGAAATGAAGTGATTGCATTAAAGGCACACTCTTCTTTGATTCCACTAAGTGAACTGTTTGCTAAAGCTAAGTCTACATCATACGATTCACGTGTTCTAAGAATAGAATCATCTTTAAGGCAAGTGGTTTGAGCAATAGTGCGATGAATTTTGCAAAATCTACATGTAAAATTAGCTCGGAAACTTTCAACATATCTACACATAGCATGAAGGCCTAAATTATCACCTAATAGTAAACTTAGCACAAAATAAATTTTATGAGAATTTCCATTAACAGTAATTGTTATTCCAATTTGTTCTAAAAAATTTAATTCCTCGATTAAAGGTGCAAATGTTTGTTTATTTCCAAATTTTTTACGGTATTCTGTGTTAAACAAGAGGGCTAAAAAGATATTTTCCAATCGTGATACACATTCAGGCGGTAAACATGGTATGTAATAATATACTCCTCCCAGAGAAGTAGAGTGAGATCCCAATGGATTGTTAACTTCCCAATCATCATAGTATATAAACAATGGAAAAACAATAGCATCATCTCCAAAACTTTTTTTCTTGTTACACCAAAGTTTAGATTGAATAAAGTTTGTAATAGTATCAGAATCTTTGAGCGAGTTAATATAATGCATTGTGGCAGTAAAAGCATCGGGCAATTCAAAAAAATTTTTTAACATTTGTCTTAAAGGTATAAAATAACCGCAAGCATCTTTCACACGTTCCACAATACATGTTCCAGTGTTTATAGGTACTCTTTTTTTACCTATACAATATTCAACAGGATTAATATAATTACCACAAGATTTAAAATATTCCTTACGTTGATACTCGTTTCTAAGATGATGAAAAGAATTTTCCATTGTATCAAACATTGATGAGATATCTTGTATTACTTGATAGCTTGAATTATTAGAATCAAGTATATTTAACTGTGTAAGAACCTTCTCTTTTAACATAGAAATATGACCGCTTGTCAGAAATAATATGCTATCCTCAATAATAGTTTGAATGTGATTCCGTGGAATGGAAGATTGATTATATAATTTTGCAACAAAAGCATCACAACGATTTCTTACGAGAGATTTAAAGTGAGTAGGAGTTACTAATAAATCTGTGTTTATATTAGTACTTCCTAGTGTTGTTTCGCAAATATTCATATCCTGGTGATTCAGATCTTCATGATCAATCATTTCTGTATTAATAGATTGTACATAATCTTGTTTCATACTAGTGGGCCATAAAGAAAAATTATGATTTGATCCAAGTAAATGTTTTCGTAACGAGTTCCATGAGGACCATTCTCTAACGCATCCATTTTCTCCACATTTAAATGTAGTAAACGAATTTACATAATGTTTAATCTTAAAATGCGTTAATAAACTGTTTACAGAATGAACAGTTTCTTTACACAAGAAGCAAGTAGGCATGATACAAGTATTTTCCAAAACAATGATTAAATTTATAATGATTTATATTCTTGAATTATCGCCAGGACAGAAGAAGTGAGCTGCGAATTTTTGTGTTTGTCCCACAAAGTTTCGAAACTATATACAGCTCTTTGTAAACACATAAAAAGCTGTCCTACCTCTACAGGATATCGAATGTTTAAAGCATTACACAACTTAAAAACAAGGTCCACAGCTTTTAACGGTGTTTCCACTTTGTATCTGAACGTATCAATTACAACTAAACATTGTCTTATTTCATCAAAAGAAGGACCTATTATCACTGTAATAGGTTGTGAGGGCTGACCAAATGATTGTAATTTTGCCGTTTGTTCTTGTAATCTTGTTTCAAAATCTGCGATTGTCTGTAAAAACGTTATTATATATCATTAACACCTATACATTTTTATTGATGTTTAAAATGTTTATTCCATAATAAAATATGCTTAAAATAAAAAACACAGTAATTGGCATTAAATATAGATAAAATACGGTGATTGTACAAAGGAAAAGATAAATTGTTATTCAATATATTATTGATAAATATTATTGATAAATATTATTGATAAATGGTCATCACCTATTATATAAATATCATATAATTTAATTTCTTCACCTGCAAAACATACTAAACCTATGCCATAACATTAATTCTGCCAATCGTTGTTTTTCATTTTTTTAAATTATTTAATTTTTTCTACACTTACGTTTAAATGTAGGAGAAATCCTTCTTCAGATTCTTTTCTAGAGGGCCTCCAATTTCGTGCTTTACCGTTTCTTATTGTGTTCACAGGAAACAAGTGAGGCAGTAAAAACAAAGTTACAATTTTCTTACCATCTATCGAGAAATATATGAATACATATATAAAGAATATAAACTGCATCGCTGTGAAAAAAAAATTAAATATTTTACCTGTTGTAAAGACATTGTCAAATCGATTCTTTAGTTTAGGTGGCACTTTGTTGATTACAAAATCTGATATTTTTTGCCAAGCAGCATACAGTTTTAAAGAACAATCTGGATGTAATGTTTCAAAATCCTTCTCCAGCTAAAAATTACACAAAGACATTGTATAAAAATATTAAATACGTAGCAATATTACACGCGCGCGCGCGCACGTGTGTGCGTGTTTGTGAAAACTATGCATTGTTGGAATAAAGTTTGAAACAAAACTTATTTAATTTTAAAGGAAAAGTAAGGTGGTAAGATCAGACGTTAAGTTACATTGCTAAGGCCAGATCATTTTGATTTTTTAAAATAAGATCTCTAGATCTTTTATTGTATAGATGTTGAAGCAATTTCAAAATATAATTAAAAAACTAAAATAATCTTACCAGAACCTTAACAGTGTCACCTAAGTTTGTACCGATCTCATTTCTCTTTCAAAATCAAACAACTCTTGTTTCAAATATTTTTCAATAATGCATAGAGATATGTATTATAAGTAGAAACTTTCCAAAAAAATATTTCATATATATTATACAACATTAATCTCTCTAAAGTCACATATAATATTAAAAAAAACGTTTAAAAAGTCCTTTTTAACCTTTGTGAATGATAAAATATAAATTTACAGCAAATTTGGATACTTTTCACTGAAGAAATAAAATCATATATCAAACTTACTAATACGTAGCCTAAGGGATCAGAAAGTGCCGGAAACTGATTCATATATTCGTGGCAGGACTGATTATTAGTTTGAAAGTTTTTTAACCGGTTTTTAGAAGTCAAAGACCAGTATTCAGTCTATCACTATGTTCCATGGTTTGGAATTATTTTGTAGCCATAACATATGTTCTTCGTAATTATCATTTTCTTCGTCTACAAAAACAAAAATAAAAACTATGTAAAAAACTTGTTCTATTTGCAGAACATTTGTGGTTAATTGAAATACAAATATTGTTAAGGCTTTTCACTCATTGCAGTTATATCGGATTAATTATAGGCTATATTCATTGTTCAATCTTATTTTTTTAAATCTTAAATTTATGTTTAGATACTGTATGTATTATTTTATTTTATGGCTACGGAGCATTTAAAAATAAAAGACGATCTTATAAGATTAACAATAAGTTATTTAGATAAGATTATCGACGTAAGAAGCAAAGAATCGTGTTAATTTCATTTTTGTGTTATACGTTGAAAGAAATGGTTTTCTCCATATGCTATTATTCCTGTTCGAAAATATAAGCTAGTAAGATATATTGAAAACTATTTTTTCCTAATTATATAAATACATATAATTCAATCATATAATCTAATTTTTAGCAAAAAAATCGGTCTTATGATAATTGATCAGTATTACAGCCAGTTTATTAAACTACAAACTAGAAAAATTTTCAATGTATTTTATTAATTTATATAAGATTAAATATGGATAGTAGCAGGAAGAAAAATTATTTATTTCAAAGTTAACATAAAAAATATTTACACAATTTCTTGCTTGAGATATCACAATCCAATATAATTGTATTAAATAAAAAAAATTAATAAAACTATTACATTTCTCACAAAATAAACGATTTGAAACAAAATTACCATTAATCTGATTATGAGTAAAATCTGTAGCAGCTTTTACATTTAGCAAACCAGCTTTAATCAATTTTCGTCGTGTACAATAATATTTTGTAAGAATTTTTCCTCTACCTTGTGATTCACCTTTCTTATTTTTTATGTACCAAACACTCTGTAACACGTAATATTAAAATAGTTGCAAATAAATATAATTGAAGCTGCTAATAAAATACGCATATATAATAATTTGTATAAAATCAAGATTAACAACAAATAGGTAGATATTGTTAGATTAAATTATGCTGATAATAAGTATATTAATATTTTTTTAAATTTAAAAAAGAAAAAATGTTCAGTACAGAACACAAACTTTTGAATGGAATATATCTCTCTATTAATTTAAAATAACGTTGTAAATTTAAATTTAAATTAAATTTCTTTCACAAATAGATAATTAAAATAAAAAAAATTAAGATATTAAATAAAAGAATATATAATAAATATATGAAGACTATGTCACACAATAGAAAATAATAAGGAAAATTGAAGAATTTTAAGGATTTTTTAAGATTTTATAATATATTAAGCTTAATTAAAATATATTGAAATAAATTATTTTATAATATATTGAGTTTTATTAAAATTAAAGAAGATTCAGGTCTACAGCCATTTTGATTTATAATTCAACATTATAATTCAAAACATTATAATTCAAAATGGCTATTATAGATCCTAAAAATCTTTTTATTTTAATTAAAAATCCAAATATATTATAAAATATTTAAAAATATATGATTACCTTGTCTTCAGTAGGAAACAATTTTATTATCTGATCACTCAAAAAAGATGCCCTTTCACTACTTATGGTGTTATTTATGTTAGGTGAAAGCTCATAACTGACTATTATTTTTGCTAATTTATTTCGCAAATCATTATTTAATGTTTTTTCATTTTTATATAAACCTAATAGCAATAGGCCATCTTCAGATTTTTGCAATATAGATTTCAGATCCTGTAATAATATATAAAATATCTAATATTAATATTCAGTACATATTATTTAAAAGAAATTTATAAAACGATTCACAACTTACGTATTCATTATCGACATGTTCATTGTCAGTTGTATATTTCTTTTTTTGTGCTGTGGTATTATTTGTTAAAAATATAACTGGAAAAGAATACATATATTAGCAGCAAATTAATAAAATTACTATAAGAACAAAATTAAAGCTGAAATTTTTTAAGTTTTCAAATGAATAAATATGTATTGCGTTAATTTTTATTGTATTTATTAAATTTATATAAATTGTATATATAAGTAAACAAAGATTAACAATATTCTTACCATCATATCCTGTACTTGCAGATGTAGAAGATGCAGATGGTGAAGTCGGACAGATATCTTCTACAACAATATCTTCATTACATTGTAACTCTATCACAGACGATGTTTCTATGGAGCGTTGTTGCTCTATATTTATTTCTTCTACAGAATGTAGTTCTGTATCTATTTTTTGCTTTTTCGATACGTTAGCAATATCTTCTCGCTGTGTAGCTTGTTGAATATTCAAATCAATTTTTGAGAATTGTTGCGCAATCTGAAATATTAATACCAAGAACAGATCAGTTATTATAATTTCGAAAATAATTTATAGAATAATAAGACATAATAATACGAGTAAAAATAATAAAGTTTATTGTAAAAAAATATATACCTTATCTAAATATATTTTTAAATTATTTTGAAATTTTCGTCGGTGTCCAAAATTTGGAATTAAAATCTTAAGATCTTCTTCCGTTAAATTATTGAATTGATCAACTTCTATTTCTTGGGCTACAAATGAAAAGCATACTGCACGTTATTGTATATATTTGTTTAGTATAATTTTCTGTTTATTATCCAAAATAATATACACTACACGCATTCAATATACAATGAAATCGTCAATACAAAAACATAATAAAATCATAATTAGCAAAACACGTAAAAATATTTTAAACTAAATTCTTTTTTAGTATATGTCCGATAAATGTAAATTGATCTTAAATTTCTTTCTTATGTGGAAGCACGTATCACAAAAAATTATCGAAACATCATTATTGAAATACACATAATATAAATATATCGAAATATACGCAGTATACACAGAGAAAACGATTTCTTTGGATTTAATAAATTTTATTGTATTCAAACAAATTTGATGTTTGGAATGGTCCAAACAAACCAATGTTTGAATCAATAAATACAATTGTTTGAATTTCAAACAATGTATATCTTTGGCTTAAATAAATTGCATAAAAAAAATTTCTTTTTTTTATTTTATTTTATGATTATATATTATTATTATTATTTTAGAGTTCAATTTGTGTTTACTATTATCGCATATTTTATTAATTACAATTACGCAGATTTATAATTTTTGAAAACGCATCGACGAGATTCGAACCTGAGATCCCTAGAACAGCAAACTTGTACGCTAACGCTGAGCTAATGATTATTTTGTACAAAAGATTAATTCTTTCCATTATATATTTTAGGTTAGAGTATAACCTAGAATATATAACCTATAAAGAATAGAGATAAAACTGTTGATTATTATTGCCGGTACTACCTTCTACAGTAATAGTTATGGAATGATTAAATAATGAAATTTCTTAATAATGTATTTTTTCACAGCATTGCTTAGAGTTAAATTTTTTAAATATTACTGTATTTTTCAGCAACGTACATTATTATTATTTTAGTAAGCATTTACGAGTTTAGACTAAAAGTTGAGAATGAGCACAAATTTAGAGACTATTATTGTTTTTTGAGTCAGTGTATAAATAAATTATTTGTTTCGTTGTTCATATTTATTGTAATCAAATAATACATTATTTGGTTGAAAGATATTACTTCAAACAATAGTGTTATTTTCGTCAAATAATAGAGATTTTTTAAACGAAACAACAAAATTTGTATTCAAACAAATAATATTTCGTGTAAGCATATGTTCTTTCAATGAAACAAATTTTAGTCAAACAAATAGGAATACTAAATCTAAAGAAACCTTTTTCTCTGTGTACGTGGTGTTCAATTGTCGCTCTAGGCTGCGTTCTATTTCACGTATGATTGGCATGATTTATCCTTTTATCTTTAACATTTGGACAACAAGGTTACGATACACATCATGCGCAACATACGTTAAACAGAACGCAGCCCTATATTACATGTACATAAATTATTTTACATACCTATGAAATGTCCTATGACTTCATCACTAAATTTCCAAGTAATCAACAGATCTTTTACTGCCATATCAATGTGGATTATTGAAACATTACACAAAATCCGAAACATCACACAGTACCGAGTCTGATATGACTCAAAATACGTGATCACAAACACGTACGTATAATACAATGCAGACACTTTATCGAAATATCAAATCTGATACGGTCCACAAACATATAACGCAATACGGACACTTGTCTGAAATACCGAATTCGAAGGTTTAGAAACAGCACAAGCACAAACGTATAACATATATGAACTTGCAACAGGCTACTTACAATCCAACAAATCAGAAAGATTATATGAATCCTTGTGATTTATGCTCAAGAGATCAAACTGCTCGTCAGCTCGTGTCGTGTTGTGTCGAAACGATGTATTAACTTTTGTTTTCCTGTCTCATTCACTCACTCACTCACGGCATGCTGCGCGTGCGCCAGCGTTGCTCGCGCAAATTGTGTGCATCATAGCGAATTGATTGTAGATCTTTGACATATCGATTAGTTCCGATAACTAATTTTATGTCGCTGTATGGTATAACCCTGACAGACATGCATGTTTTGCTACTTTATTTACATATTAAGAGCTACAGCAAACTATTTTGCTGTAGTTTATAAATTTATAGTTACGGCAGCAAACACAGTTTTAACCAGCCCTGATTAGCTATAGCAGCGAAATTTTTTTTTTCCGTGTTGGCAGAAGTCTCTAACCATCTCGCGGTAATCCCCTTGTCGGCGCTTACCCTTGATTGCTTCGAGACTCCTATGGGAGAACTTCTCATGCAGATGTTGGTTCATAAAGAGAACTTCCCCGGCTAAGGTCGCGGTAGCCTTTACGAGCCATGAGACGGACCTCCTCCACTGACCATCTGGCCTTCACACGGTCAACATTGACAGCGCGGTTAGCCTCTACTGAGTGAACCTTGACTCGGTGTACACCCAAGCCACACATGTCCCGGAACCCACGTCCGCAGATCTCGCATATCATCGGCAACGCTTCCTCGGCTACATTAGATGGTCGATGCGAGCCGGAAGCGCCGGATGCCTCCGCATCAGCGGAGTTCACATTCGCATTATCGTTAGCACGCAGTGCCATCCGAGAACCCGGGCGTGAGGAATCATTCTTTTTCACTTTCATATATTAACTGCGTGTTGGGAGACAAACGGATTAACAGCCGAGAGCTCCCAAAAAGCCGTGCTCTTTCTTGGCCCTACAACTAACCATGAACATCGGCACATGGGCCGAAGCCCTTCATTTTTACTACAGTAAGTTTATTATCAATCAGTTTTGAAAACTGAAATTCACTGTCTTTCAGTGTTTGAATCAGTATATTATCATTGAAAGAACATTGAAACACTCACTGTTTATCACAGTTCTAACAGGAAGCGACACAATGTGATATCAATCAATTTCTATGAAACTCATAGTATTAATAGATATCAATGTCAAGTATCATTGAATCTATTTTTTTATTCAGTTTATTTTTTTTATAAATAAATATAGAATTTTTATTAAACCAATGTCTGGACCTTCAATCGAAACTCCAAGTATATGAGCATAATCCTATTCGCTCACATACACAAATGACTGTTTGTAAAGTTTACACAAGGTAAAAACAACTAAACAATTATATTTTTTATATAAAAAATTTATTTTAAAAATCAATATTTTTTATATTAAGGTTATTTTGTTAAATCAAACATATTAAAGTATGAGCCGTATGCGACCCAATATAGGATGATGGTGTGTAATAATGTCTTTACAATATCCAACCACACGCAAACTGCGCGTACTTGTCTTGAAACACAGTTCATTACATGAGGCCGGAATAACTTGTAATAAATTAAATCGCCGTAACGATTCAATCACTTTAATGCTGTACACATCTTTAAGAATCCCCTTCCCCCCGAATCAATAAATAATTTTATTGCAAAAAAAATCACCTCAGCTCTCAGCCAGGAATCGAACCCGGCTATCCACGTTTGTCGGACGGCCGTCCTACCTTTAGACCACCAAACTATGTAATGATTTTCTTCGCAATAACCGATATGTGTAAACAATTTAAACGCTTTTTTCGCAATAAAATTATTTACTGATTTGGGGAGAAGGGAATTCTAAGAGATGCGTATAGCATCAAAGTGATTGAATCGTTACGGCGATTTAATTTATTACAAGTTATTCTAGCCTCATGTAATGAACTGTATTTCAAGACCGACAAGTACGCGGCGCGCAGTTTGTGTGTGGTTGGATATTGTAAAGAAATTGTTACACACCATCATCCTATATTAGCTCACATACGGCTCATACTTTAATATGTTTGATTTATTCTAATGTGAGTTTATATATTTAATTTGTTATTTTGTTAGTTTAGCATAAAATATTATAATGAAAATGTGAATTGAGCACCTGAGATTATTAATATATACAGAGTATTCAACGTAACGATCCGCACGATTTTAAAACACTTTTGGTAGTTTAAACAAAATACAAAGGGGGAATTTTTTTTGCTTCATGCAGGCTACAACATGCGATAAATAAAAATTGTAAAAAAAAATTTTTAATAATAAAGTCAAGGTTGCCTTGAATTTTTTAAATGGCACTCCCCATTTTTTATTGCGTATTATTGTAGCTTATCTCGAGAACTTTTTAAGACACATAGATAAAATGTTTTTTGATTAAATAAATCTCGAGTTATGAAGCTTGAAAGTTTATATATTACCGCCGGCCTTAGCATTATCCATGGTGTCCGAACAATGACTAAAATCTTTTTAATGTTGTTCACTATCATGACCTTGACAACATATATCAAGATCAAGGCTATTAAAGGTTGTTGCTCTTAGTTTCATCTTTAAGCAAATTATTTTTATTTTTTTGAAAAAAGAAAGGAACAACTTCCAATGGTCATGTCGCGAGGCCGATACCCTCGCGGCACGGGTAATCATTCTAAGTAGCCATACTAAATAATTATACAAGCCGACTAGGCATTCGGCGTAATGTTAAGCACAACGCAAATCCAGCCGAAATATATAATGAAACGAAGGATTTGAACCGCGGTGTACCAAGAACGGTCGCGCAATGGCGATACCCGAAAAGCTTAGCGCTGACGCGGCAACGCGTAGAGCATAAGTACGCGCGATGATAAGCCGCGAGCGGTCAGTCTTTACGTCCGTCTTGTCGAGTAATTTCGCACGTAAGCTAAATTAAAAACTAAATTAAGAGCTAAATTAAGAGTTAAATTAAGAGTAATAAGATAAAGATGTAAGACATAACAAGTTTGTAAAGCAAAGTAAAATTAAAGTTTGTTTATTTGGTGAAAATTAAGTGTCGGAGTAATAAAATTCATTGAAGTTTCGTTCCCCCGCGGAGTCGGATCTTCTTGTGCTCAACCACGGACACAAAGTCATAACATTAATTATATTGTCAAGTTCATGATCCTGAAGAACATTAAAAAGATTTTAGCCATTCTTCTTAATAAATTAAAGTAAGCGGCATCTAATAATGCTGTATCCTCATTCGAGTTAATACCATTCTTTTAGGACTTAATGTGAATCATTTTGGATGTGAGTCTTTTATAGTAGTTCGGCTCATGGTCAAGAATGGTCACACCGTCCCAATCAAATGCATGATTAAACTCTAGCATGTGATTTGTGATGACCGAGTGTCGTGAGATGTCTGACACAACATTTTTCCTATGTTCATTTACCCGCGTTTTCATTTGTCTTTTTGTTTGGCCTACATATGAGGCGTCACAATCTCTACATTGTATTTTATATACTACATTATTGCTCTGTTCGCGATCATCTTTATCTTTGTGTCTTCTTATGAAGCGGTTCAAGCTATTTACACCTGTAGCCAATCATAAATTGTTTTTTATCTATGGAAGACGTAACTATTTCCGATGCATTTTTTATGTACGGTCTCGAATTTGTTACAGTTAGGTGAAGGTTTTTGTCTTCCAATTGCATTTAATAAAAGGAACACTGTATACGAATTCATCAAGAACGTCGAGTGTGGTTTAATACACGTGAACTCAGGTTTGAAAGCAAAAATCAGAGGCACGGTAGTTCCACAGTTAAATAGGTTTTTAGACAAAAAGTTGAATTTGAATAATTTCGATGTTACAATAAAAAATTTTTATAATGAGACTACTAAATTCTGCAAGGAGAACCAAGATATTATTTTCACAAAAGCAGATAAGGGAAACGTGACAGTTGCACTGGATCGATATGACTATGTAACACAAATGGTTAACATGCTAAGCGACACGTCAACTTATAAAGTTGTAACAAAGAATCCGGTCAAAAGCCTTGAAAATAAGTTAACAGCCATACTAAAAAGATGGTTAAGCAAAAATTACATCTCTAAAAAAGATTATTTTAAGCTAAAAATTACTAATTATTAATTAATTAGATATTATATTAGATAACTTAATTTATTAGAGAAAATATCAAATGGGCAATTTTAAACTATTTCGGGTTTTTGAGAATGTTTGTAAAAGCACCCTCTACTGGCCATTTATAGGTACTAGCAAAGTTAGACATAGCATTATATTTCGATCATTATGTCATGTAACACCAACTAGAACGCACATATCTTTGCACAGACCGAATTCCATATTATGGAACTGTAAATTTTTTGATATTTTAGTATATCTAAAATTAGTTCTTTTATATAAAAACAGTTTTAGCTTGATAGCTATAACAAGTCATCTCTTGACGGTTTTATATAAAAGAAAAGTACAGTTCAACATCGGGATTAATTATTCATCAATTGTAATGGCTTCCCAACGTTCTGACCGTGTGTCACTTTGGCTCGACATGACTAGTAGCCTCTCAACATTGTAACAATAGAGAAGTACTTCCTTGGACGGTATGTGAAAATCACCTAAGTCCTGATATGGATTTAATGTCACACAAGAACTTTCGTTGACACCTTAATGACTGCGTGCGCTTGACTTATATATGTTGCGACCGCACTCACGAGTGTGGTGCAACTTCGTCGCTCGTCCGACAAACTCGATTCCGCGA